GGTTGTGCTTCACCACTCTTCTGTACCTTATTTTCTTTACTCCTGTTTGCATTCCTGTCCTCATCCCAAATTCTCAGTGTTGGCCACTGCATGCCTCTGATAAGTTCCTCTTTGTCCCACACCTCATTCTGTCCCAGTTTCTTACATGCCCCAGTGCCCAGCTCATTCATGTTTAGCCTCTGGCCTTTCTCACCTTTAGGAATCTTTGCCACCTTCTCATAGCTCTGGGTTCTTGGGCCCAAAATCCGAGGGCCCTGGCCCTCAGGGAGAGTCCAGAGATGCAGGAACGGAGGCCCTGACCCCTCATATTTGGAATCATTTACATACTGGTGAGTAAAGCTGAGCAGAAGGAAGGACCATTAAGAGCTAGAAGGGTCTCACAACTGTTCTAATGTCCTCTTTCGGTACTCTTCCCAGCCACTAGTCGAAAGAGTTACCGGCCTGGCCCCATGGAGCCCTGGATGGAACCCCTGAGTCCTTTTGAGGATGTGGCTGGCACAGAGGTGAGTGAGGATAGGGGGGAGTGTCTGAGCTGGGATTTTACCGAGCACTGGCCATACTCCCCCACCTGTTCTGGGTTGGATTTGGGGTTGTTCCCTCACATAGTTTTCTCCTTTCTTCAGTTTGTCGATTTGTGCGCACCAATCAGGTATTGGATTGCTTTCTACCCTATCTAACTAACTTCTTCTCCACTCCTCTCAGATGAGTCAGTCTGACAGTGGGGTGGACCTGAGTGGGGATTCTCAGGTATCATCGGGTCCCTGCAGCCAGCGAAGCTCCCCCGATGGAGGACTGAAGGGGGCAGCAGAGGGGCCCCCCAAGCGGCCTGGAGGCCCCTCATCCCTGAATGCTGTTCCTGGTGAGGGTCCACCTGGCTCTGAACCCTCTGAACCTCCTAGGAGACGGCAACTTGCTCCCCCGAATGGGGACAGAAAGGTAAAAGGCCAAGAAAGGGTAAGAGGAGTATTACTGGGATTCCGGCTGTAGCCCTTCCTATGTTTTCTTCTTCTATATGTCCTGGGGATTTTTTTATTTGGGCTTCTGTTTCCTTCCCCCAACCCAACTTTACTGTGTTCTCCAATCCAGGAGCTGCCCCGGGAGCAGCCTCTGTCTCCTGGCCCCATTGGTACAGAACGATTGCAGCGTACAGACCGAGGTCCCGAGCCTGGCTCCCTGCGGCCATCCCATCGACCCGGCCCCCCGGTCCAGTTTGGCACCAGTGACAAGGTTTGCATGGACTATGTATGGGCATCTTGGGTTGGGTGGAGAGAAGGGAAGGACTGGAGGTGGTACATGGCGGACACATCTGAATCATGGGACAATATTCCCCTACTTCATGATCACAGGACTCAGACTTGCACCTAGTGGTAGGAGACAGTTTAAAAGCAGAGAAGGAGCTAACAGCATCAGTCACTGAGGTACGTGAGAGAAGAGTTTGGTAGAAAGGTCTCATTTTTGGAGAAGATGGCTGGGAGCGACCTGGGCATCCAGAGAGCTCTCTTGACAAGTCTTCTCCTTCCAAGGCCATTCCTACATCCCGAGACTGGGAGCTGCTCCCTAGTGCTTCTGCCTCCACTGAGCCACAATCACAATCCAAGAACCTGGGTTCTGGGCACTGTGGCCCAGAGCCCAGCTCCTCAAGCCAGCGCTTGTACCCAGAGATCTTCTATGGCAACCCTGGGCCTCCCAGTTCTCAGGTAGGTCCTACTTCCTATCTCATGACCCTTTTCTGCCTGCTGTCCCCTAAAATACAGTAATGTCTTCCCAGTTTTTATAGTTGTAAAAAACCTTTTTAAAGAAAAAATATCTATTTATAGATACCTTTATTTTTGCGGGGGGTGGGGGGGTCATTTCATTTTTCTCCTTGCTGCTACTGTAGGTGGTGGGAGGTGGGTGAGCTTTTTTTGGTCAGAAAAACTGGAGCTAATCCAGCTTTGCTCTTCTGTAGGTCTCAGGGGGAGCCATAGACTCTCAGTTACATCCCAACAATGGAGGCTTCCGCCCTGGGACACCATCAGTGCACCCTTACAGGTAAGAGTAGATGTCTGTGGATGTCAGCAGGAAATGGAGCTGTCTTTCAGGGGAGAGGGAAGGGGAAGACATAGGTACCAAAGGCTAGTAGTGGGCTTATGGCAGTGCTCAGGCTAAAGATATAAATGACACTGGCTCCCTCATGCCTTTCCTCCCCCTTGCCTCAATTTCTTTACAGGTCACAGCCTCTGTACCTCCCCCCGGGCCCAGCGCCCGCCTCTGCACTGCTGTCGGGGGTAGCTGTCAAGGGCCAGTTTCTGGATTTCTCAGCACTGCAGCCAACAGAGCTGGGGAAGTTGCCCGCTGGAGTTCTCTACCCTCCACCTTCCTTCCTTTACTCTCCAGCCTTCTGCCCCAGTCCTCTGCCTGACCAGCCCTTGCTTCAGGTAAGAGGTGGACTGGGGCTGGGCTCCCCAAGGAGCTTAGGAGTGGAGGAGAATGCGTTTGGGGGAGTTGACATATTTTCTCGCCATTCCCCAACAGGTGCGCCAGGATCTGCCATCCCCTTCGGATTTTTATTCTCCTCTGCAACCTGGTGGCCAAAGTGGCTTCCTTCCCTCTGGGGCCCCTGCCCAGCAGGTGCTTTTTATTTTTCCACTTCCCCTTCCGTCTCTCTGTCCAACCTCTGGCTTTTTTAATGTTTTGACTCTGTCTCTGGTTTTCTGACATTCTTCCTACCCCAACACAGACCCATGTTTCTTGTTACAGATGCTTCTGCCTGTGGTGGACTCCCAGCTGCCTGTGGTGAACTTTGGCACCTTGCCACCAGCACCGCCTCCTGCCCCACCCCCTCTTTCTCTGTTACCCGTGGGCCCTGCTCTGCAGCCCCCCAGTTTGGCTGTGCGGCCCCCACCTGCTCCTCGGGTGCTGCCTTCACCTGCCAGGCCCTTCCCCCCTAGCTTGGGGCGAGCAGAGGTAAGGTACAGGAACTGTGCTAGGCAACTCCAAGAGTTTTAGGGGTAGGGGTTCACCATCTCAAGATGAATGAGTTGAGAGGAAGGTGGCTTATGAGTTTTTTTCCTTCAGTTGCACCCAGTAGAACTAAAGCCGTTCCAGGATTATCGAAAACTGAGCAGCAATCTTGGAGGACCTGGGTCATCACGTACTTCTCCAGCTGGAAGGCAAGAAAGGGAACTAGGGATGCAGACTACCCAGCCCCAAGGCCTTTCTTACTGTGGGAATGAGGGGGCAGGTCTTCAGCTTGCCTTAAACGTTCATCTTCCTTTAGGTCTTTCTCTGGCCTCAGTTCCCGTCTCAAAGCTCCACCCTCCACTTACAGTGGAGTCTTCCGTACCCAGCACATTGACCTGTACCAGCAGGTAATGGAGAAACTCCCTTGTATCCAAATCTGAACTCTAGAGTTACCACTCGAGTTCTGTCCTTTCATTCCTGATCTCCCAGTGTGAATGTAGCCTGCTTGCTTTTCTACATGTACCTGCCCCCCAGGCCTCCCCACCTGATGCCCTACGCTGGATGCCGAAGCCTTGGGAGCGGACAGGCCCACCTTCTCGCGAAGGGTCTTCCCGACGGGCAGAAGAGCCTGGGTCCCGAGGGGACAAGGAGCCTAGGCTGCCCTCACCCCACTGAGGGAGTTTCCCTTGCCTCCTACCCCCTGGTTCTTGTATATAGATTATAAATATATAAGGGGGAAACGGGTGGGTGGGGAGGGGTTGTGGGGCTGGGGCCTCACTTCCCCTCCTCCCAGCTCCCCTGGTCCCTTATCCCTGGGGCCATTTGTTTAAAAAATAGTAATAAAAGAATTTAAAAAATATTTTCAAAATGATTTTGGGGGTAGGTTGGTTGTTTGCAGTCTCTCGTATCACATATAACATTGCCAAGTAATCTGTAGAGTGGGTTCAATCAGGGGACTATTTGTTACTTAACCCTAGTGACCTTTTCTAACAAGCTACCTCACAACTGTGTTTATTGTATCTTAAAGTTTTGTGGACCAGGAATTAGAGCTGAGCTCTGCTAGGCAAATGTGCTTCTTGTGCCATTAAGTGAAGTCGATTATCATTTTGCAGCTGACAGCTGGGTTGGTCCCATAGAGCTTCCCTTATGTGTCTGGGGCCTTGGTAGGGCATCTGTACTTGTCAGCCAGTTCAGGTCCATGGCTACTCCAGCAAGATATTCTCAGGAGTCTTCAGATCTCTTATGCCCATGAGCCAGCATTCCAAGAGATCCCTGTGGATTCTGCGCAACTTCCAACCTTTTCTTTGAATGTCTCTGCCACTTCCCATTGGCCCAGTGGTGTAGGGGACAGCAACTGTATCTCAAAACGGAGAAACAGATTTTGTAGCCATATGTCTGAGTTTGGTCCCATCTACAAATGGTGCACTTTTAATACAAAATTTACTTTGATTTTATTTATTTACTTTTAGAGGGGAAGGGAGGGAGAAAAGGGAGAGACATCAGTATGTGAGAGATACATTGATTGGCTGCCTCTCACATGTCCCCACCTGGGGACCTAGCCCACAACCCAGGAATGTGCCCTGACTGGGAATTGAACCAGCAACATTTGAATCTGCAGGATGGCACTCAGTCCACTGAGCCACTCCAACCAGGGCCAAATGGTGCCTTTAGCTGTCGAAGACTTCAATGACGTGAACAGTAGGGGTCCTCCTAAGCACTTAATCTCGGTTGAGCTGCATGTGATACCACTGCATGGTTGTCACAGTGAGACTACTTTTAAGGCTGCTGCTGCTGCTGCTCAGGAATTAAATGGTTTTTTACTGAACCATTTGCGGGCCAAATCCTAGCATGCACCTGCAAACAGGTTCCTTCCACCTCTTATTTATCAGTAAAATGCTTCTGCATGAAAAACTGCAAATGGGCGACTATCCATAGTTGTCTGGTATAGCTGGGTTCTTAGGAATTACTGAATTTTCAGTAATTCCTAAGTAAAAATCAGAGAAGATTAAAGAGTTCAAACTACTTAATGAAGATGACTTAGAGACAAAAGAGCCAGGAAAATCTGACTTTTATTTCTTAAATACTGTAAGGGAAGAGGGGGGAAATGGTCCCCTGATGAGGGTGGGGCAAGGAGCTAGGGATCCTCAGCAAAGGCCCGGTGGGCATTAGGGAAGCGCTGGGGGCTGTAGTTGGGGTCTTCCTGCAGTCGCTTCTGTATATCAGCCCGGAGCTAGAAAGAGAGCAAGCAGGTTGGAGGGGCATTGGCCAAGCCCCTAGGATCCAGCAAGCACACAAGGCTATCCCTCAGTAGCTAACACTTCCCCACCAGCCACACAGTACCCAATAAGGCATCAAAGAGCCTTCCCAGATGCCGCTAGGGAAAAATATTTTAAAATACCAATGGTTATTTCTTAGCCGCTTACCAGCCCAGACTAACCAATTCATCTCTGAAGGAATCTGGGGAGAAGGAGCCCTAGCCCAACCCCTCCCGGTAGACCATCCCTATTCTGCTTTAAGGTGGGGACACCTGCTGCCTGTAGCTCTCCTGAACCTCTGGTGCCTCCAGGTCCCGGCTCAGGCTCTCAGGGCTCGTCAGGGGCCGAGCTCCGGCTGCCTTTGCTGCCCGGCTCACGGCCTCTGACAGAAGCAGCTGGGGGCCCTCACCCTGCATCGTCTGGGAGATGGGGTTGGGAGGAAAAAGAGGATCAACGTCAGATCCAGTGCCACCACCCAGGCTCACCCTTTCCATGAGTCAACCAGTCTCCATGCTAGGGGAAAGAAGGGAAATAGTCCACATGTGATTTTAACAGCAAAAATGCCTTCCTAATTTTGGTTGGTCAAAAACAGCATTTGAATGTGCTGGATTTGGTCTTCAAAACAAGAGGGGGAGCATTCAAAACTAGCTGGCAAGAGGAAGCCCACTGTAAGAAACAGCCCTGGTCATGTGGGGATTAGGCAACTGAGGGATGACAGGACTGCTGGCAAACAGACTGATGAGGCAACCATGAGCAAGTCTGAGCCCCAGGAAGGTTTCTTCATTAATTAGATGAGGGGGCTAAGCTACGAAAAATTCCATCCAGCTCAATTTGATTCTTAGTGTGATGGGAATTTGGATAAAGAGGAATCCTCAGAGCTGAGACAAACCAACCTTGCGTCTCTTGGCAGGCATTCCACTGAGGTAGGCGTCGCTCAGGGGAGGCTGCGGTTTCACCTTCCGCTGGCTCTGAATGTCCTGCTGGATGATAGGGACCCATTCCTGGGGAAGAAATTATTAGAAAGTAATCACCACAACTTTCAGCTGCCTTGGCCCACTGATCACCTGACACTTACTGGGGGAACTGCAGCTGCCCAAGGTTCTGTCTCAGCTGAAGCTCCATCCTGTTCATCTCGGGAGCCCCCCTCAGGGACAGGAGGTGGACGTCGGGACATAGCCTCTTCTGCTGTTGTTCCAGGGGCTGGGGAAGCATTCTCCCGCTGGGAGTCAGACAACAAGCAGGTTCAGAATTCTTGGCCACCAGAACCCTCCACCCCCAACCCTCTACTCTAACTTACGTGACCCCTCAACCTCTCCCTGGTACCTGAGGCTCAGGGGAAGTTCTTTCTGATCCCTGAATTTCCATTGGCTCCTCACAAAGTGGCTGTGAAATTGAACAGAGAACACAAAAGGCCTTTTCAAATCTCTCCAGCTCCCTCAAGTCCCCGATCCCACAGCCCGTCATCAAGTCCTTTACCTGTGGGGGATCCCCAACCCTGCGAACGTATCTGAGGATGGCATCAGGGCCTACTGGCATGTGCTCCAGGACCACCTGAAGCCTCAGTCCCATCATAGTGGTCAGCCAGCTCACCAAGGATGGGTTCACCCCACGAGACATGCGACGCTGAGGGGCAGAGAGCAGACTGGAACACAAAACCCTCAACCAGCGTTTCAAAGGTTTCAAAGGGTAAAGAATGGCAGTTTGGAGAAGAAAAATGAAAACTGCAGGATACCAAAGAGAGTGGAAACCTGGGAAAACAAAAGACTGGGGGCCCAGGACTAGGTGATGCTTACAATCCGGCCATTGATGACAGCAGCTAGCTCCATCTGCTGGCCCCCCAGGCAGTGCAGGTTCAGAGCAAGGCATTCAAACAGGCCCTGGTTACACAACTCCAGCAAACGGGCCCCAAATCCACTGTCTGTGGGCAAGGCACAAGGAGGGAGTGCTGGCATCCTGCAGCCCTACATGCCCCATTCCCCCTGACCCAGCCAGCCCTGACCTGTGCAATGCAGAACGTGAGCAGCAATGCTATTAAACTGCTCTTGGAGAAATTCCAGATTTGTCCGGATGATATCCACACCTGGCTGAACCTGCACCAAAGACTGAGAAACAAAACACACAGAGACCCAAAAATCAGGAACCCCGAGACACTGGGAGTCAATGAGGCAGTAGGAACAGAAGCTATCCAATCAGACCCAGGAGAGGATGGAATGGGGAAGGGTTACTCACAAAACTCTCCCGAACATATTCTTCTAGTCCAGTGATCAACGTGTGGGTTGCCATCTACAGAGGGAGAGGGTGGGGGATAGATGACAAAGATCTAGATTAAAACCCCAGCCCTCAAGATACTTCCCCCTCCATCCACAATAAGTCCATGGACAGTAATAGGTCTAGGTGACAGATACAGAGTCAGGAATGAAGAATTAAAAGTGAAAAAGCGCAGAGCTCTGAGGCCCAGCTCTTCATTTACCCGGATGTTACCAGGTGTGGGCTCCTGGCCACCCAGGTAGTGCTGATGGAAGAAGGATCGCAGCTGGGGCTGGAGCCGCTGCAGTGGCTGGAAATGGCCATGGAGAAGCATCACCACATCCACCATAGAGAAGTTCTGGCACAGCAGTGAGAGCAGGGCCCCAAAGAATCCTGTGGACAGGGGCAGAAGTTAGCAGTGGTCTTCATCACCTCACTGGCCCAACTACCCTCAGCCCATCATTCTTATCCCACCTTGGCAACACCTCTAAACACAGGTCATCTACCTTTCCCTGGCTGCCCTTTCCTGGAGAAGGCCAAGTCACCCCCACTGCTCACCAAGAGCGCCATCAGCCCCAGGCTCAAAGATGTTGCTGGACCCGCTGAGGCGCTGTATGAAAGCGGCAATGCTCTCACTGCTGCCAGCCCGAGCCCCGAGGGAGCCCAGTAGAGAGCTCAGCACTCCCTGCACCACTGAGGTAAAGAACTCCGGTGACAGGCTTTCAGGACCCAGGCCTCCAGGACTCCCTGTGCCACCAGAAGGGGACCCTGGTGGGGGTGTCGTCTGCTGCTCTGGGGCCGGAGGTGGGGGTGGTGGAGGAGGCGGAGGGGCCGTCTGTGTTGCCTGGCAAACAGAAAAGAGAGAGAGGAAAAAAAAAAAAAAACCAGAACAGAGGATGAGGCAAGAATGGGGACATAAAATGGCATCAGGAGGGTACAAACCAGAAAGCGTTTGGAAAGATGGGGAGCTCTATTCTGGTCAACATTTTTACAGCACAGTATGCATGAGTAGTTACTGAACAGCAGAGTTAGTCCAAGCAGCCACCTCTCTCCCTCTCAATGAGCTAGGTCCGAAAGCAGTGACACAAATGCTCTCTAAGCCCCATCTTCTTCATCTCCAAAATGGGGGGTTTAGAGTCAATGGTTCCTTCTCACTGACATGCCACCAGGCGCAGCACCCGTCACAATATAATGCCAATAAGGCACCAGGGCCTGGCTGGGCAAGGAGAGAAAGGGTGAAGAGCAAGCCGCTCACTCACCTGCAAGAAGTCAGTCATGCCCTGAAGAAACGCAGGGACCCCAGGCATTGCCACAGTGATGGTGGGAGAAGCCACACCAGGCCCTCCAGTGCCTGGCCCTGCAGGCCCTAGCAGGTTCCCCAGGAGCTGAGAGAACTGCAGATCAGAAGTGGAGGGTTGAGGGGGAGGGGGCTGGGTGGGCCCCCCAGGAGCAGGGCCAGCTGTGGTAGCTGTGTTGGTGGTGCCAGCACTGGCTGATGCAGTGGCAGGAGCTGAAGGTGGAGCCATTCCTGGGGTCCCCTGAGCTTTAAGAACCAAAATAAGCAAGTTAAAATCTCCATTCCAGTCTTCCAGCAGGAAGGCAAAAACAAAGGGACTGAATGAGGACTGGGAAGTACCCGTAAGGATGTCAGGGAGGGAGGATAAGCCTTCAGAGCCATGGAAATCTCTTAGGTTTGAGGCAGGGAAAAATGAGGACTCACCCACAAGGACAGGCTGCATAAGAAGCTGCCCCACAAGGCCGCTCACCATCTGGGCCAAAGATGTGTTGGTACCCAGACCAGCACCCTGCTGAGAATGGGAGGCTTTGAGCCCTGCCCTTCCCATGCTCCACCCTAGACACCTCCCCACCAAAACTCTCCCACACTTACTCACCAGAGTCCCCAAGACTGGGGGTCCCCCAGGATGGGAAGGCCGAGCCTGTGGAAGAGTGGGCCGGGCAATCACCACCCGGGTTGGAGCTGCCTGGAAGCCTGGCATCTGCTGTCCTGTGCATGGCACGAGAGAGACCACAGAAGGCTGAGGGCTGGGTCCATGCCCGCCAGCCGACAGCACCCGCCGCCATGGACCTTGGCCCCCCTCCCGGGCCTCCCTTTCCAGGTCATTACCTGCGGCCGCGGAGGCAACAGCTGCCACCATGGCCTGATGAGTGATCTGGTGGGCGACGGCGTGCATGAACTCAGGGGACAGGGAGGGCAGCTGGATGAGGGTGGAGCCTGGGGGGCGGGTCTGATGTAACCTTGAACCTGGACCCCTTCAACCCACCCAATCGGCCCTACCCCTTGTCTACCTAGAGTTCAGCCTGCTCTGACACCCTCACTCTTACCCAGGGTCTGGCCGTGACCAGGGGGTCCTAGAGGGCCAGTGGGAGCACTCGGAACTCCACCAGGCTGCGTGCCAGAATCTGGGCAGGAAGAAAGAGAGAGTGGCCCTGAGATACGCAGGGCCAAGGCCTGACTATACCCTCCAGAGATCAGTGTCCTTCAGGTCCTCACTCCCCACCCTGAATGCCTGTCTACCTTTCCCTCCATCTAGACAGGGAGAAAGTGCTCCCATTCTTATGTAAACAAATCTCCAAGAACAAGCAGTCCCTGCTGCCCCCAGACCAACACCCTGCTCCTCCCCCCACCCACACCAACTATACCTCCTTCTCCGGTTCCTGTGCTACCACCAGTGGCCCTCTCCCTGCCCACCCTCACACCTCAGCACCAACCCCTCCCCTTGTTGTGCTGCTCTTCTCTACTGATCCTAACTCACCTTGAATGTTCATGTGCATCATAACCACGGGTTCCACGCTCTGGTGGGAAATCCGGATGACCCTTGGGTGGCTGGTGGTTGGTAGGGGAGCTGGCCCTGGGGGCGGTGCCCCCTCAGTTGAGTCAATAGTGGCAGAAGAGGGAGCCAAGGATGAGGCCTGTCCAGGGCCAGCAGGAGATGCCTCTGCACTGTGAGTAGGTGGGGGTCGAGTCCCATTCCCAGTCATGGTCACAGTGGTCCCCACATTGATCTGGAGAGAACAAGATGAGTGGGGCAGAAATAAGGAAAACAGCAAGAGCCTAATCCACCAGAGTACTGCCCTATAACCTACGTCTGAAGTCTCCCTCACCCTTTGTCACTATGTGGTTCCAAAGCCTCCTCCCCTTTTAACCTCCTTCAAGTGCAATAGCCACCCTGGGTCATCCCACCAATAGCCCTCCATTCTTCCTCAGGCCAGATCAGCCTCAACCCACCTGGATGGGGATGGCTGCCTGCTGAAGCACCATGGGAGTGGTGTAGTGAGACATAGGACGGACCACATGCAGGTGTCGTGGAGGCGCACAGGCCAGATTACAGCGCAGATCAGAGAGAGCCACAAAAGTGTTGCCTAGCAGCCGCAGGCTCTCCCCCACCAAGTTGATCAAGCGCTGATCCTCTTCTCGACCCTCTTGCTGTAGCCCCAAGCCAAACACAGAAAGGCAGGGGGAAAAAAGAAAAAAACAAAAGGTAGAAACTATCAGGCTGGAATCCACCTCACTTCAGCAACCAAAGCAACACCACCTTCTGAAAATATCACATTCTCTAACCCTTTAGGTGTAACCTTGGAAGCTCCCACACAGACCAAATCTTTGCAAAACTCTATTGTATACATATAAAAAAACTCCCGTGTATACAGTAAAACAGACTCTACAGTGAAACAGTAAGTCATCGTCTAGTAATCTCTCTTACTTTATAAACTTGCTAAACAACTCAGGAGACTGAGCGGTGCAAAGACAATGCCTATTGCAAAGATTATCACCTATCCTGAAAGGGAGGAAAAGGTCACTTAATTATAACTCTAAGCAGAAATCATCACCTTGCAGACAACATGGTTTGTTTTCTTTGGGGCGGGGGGGTGATGTGTATGTCAGCCTGTTCCGTTTGGGGAGGACTGGAGTAAGGGGGTGAGCGGGCTCACATTATTGTTGTAATCTGTGCTGGCAGCGGCACCCAGAACCTCATAGTAGCGCTGCAGGAAGGGATGAAGGCGGCTCTCAAGCCGCTGGAGCTCCTGGAGCACCTCGACGTACTCCGCAGGGGAAGGATGGCTGTGGGCAACCCCAAAAGGCAGTGAGCCAAGGCTTTCCTCAGCTTCCCAACCTCACAGTTGCCAGGGACCACGTCTGCCATCTCTCCTTGGCCTCCCAGAACCCTAGCCCAATCCGTTCCTGGACTAGCAGAGCCTGGTCTTTACCCCCACCCATGGCAAAACAGGGAGAGAAAGATAAATTCCTTCCACCCTCTCCACTGTCACAACCCTGCACTTACAATGGTGAAACACTAACTCTAATAAAAGAGATGGGGCCTCTGTGAACTCAGGGGAGAGAATCTTGATCAGGAAGCACCATTTGGTTTTCCTTGCCCCAGGGAGAGCAGTGCATCTCAGCTGCTAGTCCTAACCTCCTTTACCTACTCCTGAGCCCCTCCATGCGACCAACACTAACCCTCCACGTAAGACCTCCAAGCAATCCTTCCTTCCCTATCACAATTCTCCTGGTCCTCATCCTTCACTTAGGATCCGAAATCCCCTCCCAAAGGTACCCCCCGTCTCTCACTTGGGAGCATTTGTCTCTGGGGCAGGTGTTGGTCCCGCGGGGGCTGTGCCAGAAGGGGTGAGCTCCGGGCTCTGGGCTGGGGCACGCTCCTCCACTTCTTCCGCCTCCATGGGCTCCCGAGGAGACACTACGTTTTCGACTGGTTCTGATGTCTGAGAGCTCAAGACTACTGGCTCTGGGGCCACAACTGGTGTCTGCGCAGCCGGCTGATTGTGCTGTGCTTGGGACCCCCCTCGACACTGAAGGTAGGGGAGAGTCAGGGTAGCAAAGGCAAGATGAGACTGCTACAGAAGATTACTCAGGTCAAAGGAGAATGAGTGGATAAGTGCTCTAACTCGGCTCCGTGAAGGCAAGGCTTTGCATCTCTATCTTTGACTCCCTAGCAACCAGTATGAGAGTTATGCAAATTAGGTGCATAATAAATATCTGAAATTCTCGCAAATGAATTAAGAAAAAATAGGGACTATGACTTCCTAACCTCCGTAAGAGAAGGCCATAGGTCACAGACACAGGACAAACTAATGAAATCAGGACATACCAGTACCAATTATCATAATTAAGAAATCTTTTTAGTGTTAAGCCCTGGCCAGGTAGCTCAGCTGATTAGAGCATCGTTCCAGTACACCAAGGTTGTGGGTTCAATCTACGATCAGGGCACATACAAATGCACAAATAAGTGTTTATGAAAGAGAGAAACAAATAGATGTTTCTCTCTTTCAAATTAAAAGAAAAACCCAAAAACCACAAAAGCCTTCTTTAATTGAAAAGAGATGCTACAAGCCCTGACTACTGTGACTCAGTTCACTGGGCATCTTCCTGCAAAGCGAAAGGTCACCAGTTTGATTCCCAGTCAGGGCACATGCCTGGATTGCAGGTTCAGCCCCCAGTCAGGGTATGTACAAGAGTACAAGGGGCAACAGATTGATGTCTCTCTCTCTCACATCGATGTTTCCCTTCTTTCCCCTCTCTCTAAAAATAAATGAATATGTTTTTTAAAAAAAGAGATGCCATGAGAGTTATCTGACAAATCTGAAACAAACTTCCCAGATACTGGACACCAAGAGGACTAGCAAGGACAAGATAGCCTCACATAAATACTATAGATACTTTTACCACCCAAAGAACGAAGACTGCAGGGAAGAAACCAGATTAGGAAGGAAACATCCAGTGAAATTTCCCAGTCATGCCTTCACCACCCCCCACCCCCCGCTGAGACAATGGGTAGGGAGGATGGAAAGACAGAGAAGACTACTTACCTCCATCCGGGATAGTAAAGTCTGTATATCCCTGATCATGTGCTGAGCCATCACCAGCCGTACTCGGGGTTCACTCTATAACAAAGAGAGAGAATATTACGGCAGGTCTGAGATGAAGGCAGGTCCCAGCATCTCCTCAGCCAAGTTCAATCCCACCTCATGGACTCCTTCTCCTTCTCCCAGATCCCCTTCCCTGACCTTCCCAGGCTCCGTGATACCTGAATCGGGGCCTGTTCCATGTTGATGTGAACATCCACAGCAGAGCCGTCACTCTGGGGAAAGGGTAAGGGAAGTTGCTCTGGGAGAAGCCAAAAACTAAGGCCCCCACATTTCCAACTCATTCTCTGGAGACCCACCCCTTTTCTCCTCAAGACTGAGGCCATTAGTAAACCACAGTGCCTTCTAAACCCAATCTAAACACTAAGCTCTCCCCGCTACCACAACCAAAATTATACTTCCCCACAAAAACCATCCCATGTGAAACACAAGCTTACAGGAAGATTGAAGGTTCCAACCATGACATAGCTGTTGGCATTCCGGTCATGAACAGAGGCCCCAGGCCCCCGAGTACCAAGTGTGGGTCCCCCACCATGGGTGGCTGAGGCAGACCCTGTCCCAGAAGAAGCCCCAGAAGGGAGCTGGGTCTGAGGAGGAGCACGTTCCACCAGGTGGATAACCTTTCCCCCAACATCTGCAAACAAACAAAAAAAAGATACACACCAAAGCATTTTATGATCAGGTAAACCCATGGTTTCAGCTCATTCCTCTGGACAGCTGCCTCAAACTCTGAACTGGCCCCCCACCCTCTTACTGTATTCCTGGAGCTTCTTATCATCCTGCAGAACCCGTCCCTGGTAGATGAGCCGTTGTTTCTCAGAGGGGATGCTGACAGAGGCAGCAATGTGCTCCTTAAATTCCTTTACATTCATCTGCAAAAAAAGGACACAAATAGGTATCAGCAAATGGAGGAAACAGGAAGGACAGAAGAGGGACAACTGACTTGTGGTGGTGAGGGGTAAAAACCATTCCATGAAAAAGTCTTGATTGTGAGATAATTACTGTGCAAAGCGTCAAACTAAGACAACTCTTGTCAAAATACAATAAACATAATGAAGTTCAGCTCTAGGCCTAGAAAAAAATTACGTGGCTGAGAAACAGAAAAGCCAGCTGATAGTCCCTTCACTCCCCTCTGCCTGGCTCCCAAGGGAATGTGTGTCTAAAGATATCAGTGACAGCTCTCCAAACACAAAACGATACAACTCCAGTCTCAAGATAAAAGCAATGACAAGAAAGATGGGGTGGGCAATCAGGTTAAGGAAGGAGGACGCCACCAAGAAGAGAATGAAAAAGAGAAAAATATTTTTCCTAACTAGATAAACGACTATTGGGAAAATTCAGGCTGTTTACACGTATCTAATCACAAAAGCCTATATGGTTTTCTGAAATATATGTAATGTCACATTTTAAAAACCATGGGCAAACCCCTCACAATTTTGTCTCCCGTTATTAGAGGAGTAATGACATAGCCGTGTCCATGCTGTCAAGCTCGAAAGATTCATATTATGCCACAAAAATTAGTAACTCCACTCAACAGTCTATCAGGCCTCTACCTACAATTACCAGCTCTGATTTCTCACCTTTAAAAACACAGTATAGATCTGAACAATTTCTGTCTTTAAAACGCACTTGTGTTTGGGGTCTGCATGTTCTGTTTTCCCCTCCCAGAGGCAGGAACCATGTTTATCCCTTTGAGCTGGGGTTCACTTATCCAATCGTAACAGCATAAAGATTCCCTCCTTCCTCCATATTCGCCTCTGCATTGAGTTCTACTGAGGTGGAGGAAGGTAGAACAGATCTACCTTATTCAAATCTACCTTCTTGCTCCACAATATCAGAAAATTTTCTGCCTAGAACATGAACAAAGGAATCAATGAAAGAAAATTGAAGACCAGAAAATCTTCTCCCAGGCTAAGGGGCCTACAAGAGGAGTTAATGGGTGTCTTCCAGAAGTACTGGGGTCTCACCTGGGCCCCCACAATAAAAGTCCGAGTCTGAGAGTCGAGGGTCTTCACCAGCACCTCCAGGTTTTCAGGGTCCTCCACAGTGTTACTGGTACTATTATTGGGCTCCATGGTCTACAGATTTCTAAGGAAGAATGGAGGGAGAGAGGCCCACTGTCGCCCAGAGCAGATTTTATATACCCAGAAGCCTCCCCGGCCCGAGTCTCCGCCCCAATACCTAAAGAGTTTCTCCCACACAAGCACACACCCACACCCGCCCCCATCCCCCTTCTGATTCCGGGGCACACGGAAAGAAACACAAAGGGCAGGAGACCGACGGCAAAGGAAGTTGGGCGACCGGAGGTGGGAGGGGCTCCACGATGCCAATCACAAGATAGGGTCAGTCGGGCTGGGAAGCAGGGAAGGAAGCACGATTCCAGTGTCATCACCGGTCGCGATAGAAGGGCCCCAGAAACCCTGGAACAATGCGAGAAGCGGGGGGTGGGGGTGGGGAATCGCACTACACTCTGCGGAGAAAATGGTTTCGCGCACGCGCGCCACACCACGGCTATTGAGCCCCACTAAGTCACGACAAACCCAAAATGACGGACACTCACGGGGGGCCAGACCGGCTAACTGACTGCCCCCCTCCTCTGCCTTCTTTCGGGGCTCCAGCAGAGCGTCGCAATCAACACACACCAACTACACGCAGCACCACCCTGCAGCTCCACCCACGACTTCCCCATGGTGCCATCACTTCCGGTCACCTCCAAGCTGCCACCGACGGCCACTTCCGTTTCCCTGACAGTATTTGGAGAACGCGAGGCGGAACTTCCGGCTCCCCCCAGGTTCCCAAGCTTCACTTTCGTGGGGCACAAGAAAGTCCGCGGCCCCAAACAGTGAGTTTCGGAGGACGAGACGGGCCGGGGCCGGCCTAGATGGGAGGGAGCCGAGCACCCCGAAGAGCCGCCGCTGCCGCCGTCGCCCCGGGGACCGTACTGCGTCTGCGTGCGTCGTATTACGCATGCGTACACACTTAGACACCGCCCCACCCTCGCTGGCGCGGTTTATTTCTCCTGTGGGTGAGCTTGTGTAAGAAGTTGAGGTGGCCACTATAAATGCCTGGAAAATAAGTAGTAGATGGGACTGTATGACTGCTTCAGGAGGCTTTGGACGGTTGTATGGCTCTTGGAGTTTGGGGACTGGTGATTGCGCCTCGTTAATCTATATTGAAGTCTCGGCCGGCAGAGACTTTGAGGTGGTACTGTCCTGGCCACCTAAAATGCCGTCTTCCTCTCACTCGCCCTCGCTGCTCCAGTCTTTCGGCGCCTCCGGAAGTCACCCCTTGCTATGATTGGAGCTGGTTCGCGAGCTGTCTTTGCGTGCGGTTGCGCCTGCTCTCGGTTTTGTCCGACGGGCATTTTGCATAGTGTGGGCGCCACGTCCTTCACCCGCGTTGCGCGGCCGTAGTGACACGCCCTGTTTTTGAGAAGCTAAGGATTTACTACCTTCCAGGACTTGTCAAAAAAAAGGTTGCTTCCGAGTTTGGGAATTGGGAGCAAATGAAATCCGACCTGACCGAAACACAGGGCTCTGACCGTGGGGAATTGAAGGGACCGCCGAAGTGCTTCCGCAGGCTGGGGCGCTGCTCTCTTCCACCCCCACCCTCGGCCCGCTACGCTGTTACTCATCTACCAAGACCCATCTACCAAGACCCATCACTGCTCTGGTGCCCAGCCTTTCTGGGATTCTTTGTTTATACCCAGGTCCCAGGATTTCTTCAGTTAAGAGTTCTAATACGCACCTGTTCAGTAAGCGTTTAGTTTATGCCAGCCAGTTTCCTAGGGGTTCTACGTACTGTCATATTTAAAAGCCTTTCAACATCTAAGTCATTACATATAATTACTCTATATTAGTACACCTAGCGAACTAACAAATCCAGGCCTACCAGACTCATCTGGGTCAAGCACTTCTACCTTACTGCCCCAGAAAATTTTTTAGTTTTTTATTATATACCCTAAATTGTAAGTCTCACCTCTCAGGACAAATCTTCCCTGCCCCGCCCCAGCAGTCTGTGAGGTGTAAATAATTACAAGGAAGCTGCATCTTTCATTGGAAAGGAAGCTCCACACACTTGGCACTATCCAATGACTGTCTCTTGACAATTCTTTCCTTACCTTCAATTGTGAGAAAGTACTGCCCACTGGAAACTGTAAGCGCTGTACAAACCTTATTAATTTCAGCGAATATTTATTTAGCTTTGTAATGTGTAGGCCTTTGCAAAGGGCTTTATATGCATTATCTCTTAATCCTGAGATTATGATTTGCTCAGAGGTGAAAAAAACAGGTATAGAGATCGTCTAATAAGTAGTAAGTAGAGTTAGCGTTTGGAATCACTCTGCCGGTCTATCCTCTTTAATAAGTCTCTTATTCCTAATAATAAACATTGAGTGAATGGACTATGTGTCAGTGAGTTTTTCTTCCTGGTGTACATATTGTTTCCCCAATTATAAACTTCAGAGAAAAAGGCCACTTACCAGCCATTTCCCAGCACCTAGTTCATATCTGTTCTAATGCACTTAATCAGGTTGTATTGCAATGATTTTTTCACACAACTAGTTTTCCTTAGTCTGAATTCTTCTAGGCCAGGGCTGTGCCTTAATCATTTCTATGTCCCAGGGCTTAGCCGGTTCCTGGCAAATAGCTGGAACTCAAAACAGTTTGTTAAGTGAGTAAATGAATCAATGTACCTCACTTCAATGCTGCATGATACAGTAGATATCTAGTTCAGATCAACACCACAGGCTCTACCTGGAGGGCTCAGCTTTCCTGACAATTCCCAGGAGACCCTGGAAATGCCAGGGTGTATTATGGAATGGCTGCATCTAGAAGAGGGGGAGGAAGGGTCAAACACTGTAAGTAACCTATGTTTGGAAAACAAGGTTGAAGTTACTCATTAGCGGGTGAAAGGGTCAAGGGTCAAGGCAAGGGGGCTGGATGCAGAGTGGACTGAGCAGCCAGCAGGGGAGGACAGTTAAGGCACCAGCCACTCCACAAAGAGCACCAGCTCCCTGTTGCATGAAGATGTTTCATCAAATTTGGGCAGCTCTGCTTTATCTCTATGGAATTCTCCTTAAAGCCATCTACCAGTGCCCTGAGCACAGTCAACTGACAATTCAGGGAGTGGATGGAAAAGAGGTATGGACTGAGAATGGGGGAAGCTTCCAGAAGGGGTTCTGAGGGACTTGAGTGGGTGGCCTAGAATGACCAGAAGCCACCCTTGGAAAGGGAAGAAAGAGAGTGTGAGTATTGTGAAGATGAAAGTAAGGACAAGTAAAAAAATATTAGTACTGTGGCTATCAATGTAGAAACATGGTAGAATTGGGGGCAGGAAGTTACTCAGGTTGTTGAACACAGGCAAAAAGGAAGTCATTTAATGACTGTCATAGATTCAAGCCCCAGCTAGAAAAAGGCAGCCAATAGCTCCAACCCTAAGTCTTGCTATTTTGACAGAGGTTGGATGGATTCTATAGTGGGATCCACCCTCTTATGTTCCCCCTTCTTGTCTCTCCAGTTCCCAGAGCACTACATGGGCCAGTGGTACTTCATTGCAGGGGCAGCTCCCACCAACGAAGAGTTGGCAACCTTTGACCCTGTGGACAACATTGTCTTCAACATGGCTGTGGGCTCTGCCCCAACGCAGCTCCAGCTTCATGCTACCATTCGCACGTGAGTGATGAAGGGGCAGAGGCACCAATAAGTACAGTCTCTGCCCAAAGTGTGAGCACCTACCCACAAAGAGCTGGGTTCTTTTGCATATCCAGTTCTTGGCCCACCTGAGCTCATAGGCTCTACTGGTTTCCCTCTGGAGAAAGATGGGCCTAACCATCCCTTGTTAGCTTGAAATCCAAGGCAACCTGGGCTTCAAGAAGGAATGAGAGAATAAACAAACTTGGTACTGTGTATCTGAGGTGTCACTCAGTCTTTCCTTGCCACCGCCACCTCTGCAGGAAAAATGGGTCCTGTGTGCCCCGGGAATGGATCTACCACCTGATTGAGGGGAGCACAGATCTCAGAACTGAAGGTTGGTTCTCTCCAGCCCTCCCTCTCCCCAATCCCCTGGCTTGCTTGGTTTTGCATCTCTGTCCTCACACTTCCCCCTCAACCCATCCTGACAGGCCGCCCTGACATGAAGACCAAGCTCTTCTCCAGCTCATGCCCAGATGGAATCATGCTGAAGGAGATGGGCCAGGGTTACCAGCGCTTCCTCCTCTACAGTGAGTGAGGCAGCAAGGCAGGATGGGTTGGAAGGAAACACAGGAGGGGCAGGAAAGCCCCTCACTCTGGGCCCTGTATTCAGTCACCAAGCTGTCGGAGGAAGGGCTGGGTGCTTCCAGGAGGTCTGCAGCAGTGGCGGGAGCTAAGCAGAGCTTTTGATGAGCCTGGCCCTGATGTGCCCTTCCAGATCGCTCACCACACCCTCCTGAGAAGTGTGTGGAGGAATTCCACTCCCTGACCTCCTGCCTGGACTCCAAGTCCTTCTTACTGACTCCCAGGAAACAAGGTGAGGGGGTAAAGTCCCACAGAAGAGAACTAGGACTCACCAAGTCTTCTGTGGGTGCTGGATGAAAGGGACTCAAGTGATGTCACCAGAGGGCAGGACCAAAGACTGACATCATCAGATTGGCTGTGTTCACACCTCCATTTGTGTCATAGGTTGTGATGGCACCAGGCGGAGCCAGGATGGGCTGTGGGCTACTAAAGAGAGGTTTCTGGGTTTGCAGAGGATAAAGTGCGCAGAGAGTCAAACATGGGAAGGGAAATAGGCCTCAGGGACCCCTTCTTTGACAGGGGAAGAATGAGAGAATGCATTCTCTTCCACCTATTACTAGCAACCTTGCTTCTCTTCCTTGATTTCCTTCCTTTCCATCCTCTTTTCTCCCTCCTTCCACCAGGAGTCTGTAAGCAATCCAGTAACTGACCTGTGGCTACATCTGTGCCCCCAGATGGATTCAGTGGGAGCTAAGGTAGTGGTGGGGGAGAAGAGAAGCTGAAGAATCCTTTTCAATAGTAATAAAGGTTATTTTTCAATCCTCATCTCACATTGGGGTTTGTCTCCAGACATCAGTCCGACTCCAATTTCCAATCTCCCCCTGAACCTTCTATCACCTAAACCCTGAACTGGACGGTGTCAGGAAGGACACTGAGTGGCAGTAACTCACTTTGTAATAGTATATTTAGGATTCGGTGTGACATTTTGATTTATTGCTGAGTGAGCAACCTCTAACCCCTGCCTGGGAACTGCAAGCTCCAACGCTTCCCCACACTGCCTGTCTGGGCTGCCAGAGCCTGAGCCGGCCCTCCTGCCACTACTGCCTGCACCATCCCCACTCCCTCTGGCTCCCAGGAACACCCACATCATCTCTGCAGGCTCCCTGTCACTTGTGCACCCCATCCAGACCCCAAATCTAACCACCCAGCAGCCCCTCTTCCCTAGATGTCCCAAGATCCAAGGGACCCCTTGGTCTCCCAACCACCCTCTTACCCCAGCAAGAGTTCTGTCTGTCCCTGGGGAGTCTTGAGAGGTAGAAAGGACCCTTTAGTCTTTATTCTCCACCACCACGTTTTTTGTTTTTTTTTTTTGCTTTTATAAAGTGAAGATGGGGGAAAAAAAGGAAGGTGGGAGAAACGTGTAAAATCAAAATAACAACAGCTGGTGAATACAAAGGCCATGCCCCAACTGTCCATAAACCTGAACAGCTGTTTTCTCCTGTGGGTGAGATGGGGACCTGTATCCTCATACTCTGGGGTTTCTTCCCTATCCCTGAGGTCCCTGTGCTTACAGTCTGGGTCATGCCCCCTACTCTCCTCCTAATGGCCACAGTCTTCACTCTTGCTCTTATCCCACTGAGTGGGGAGTCCTGGGTCACACCCGACTCTGAGGTCATAGCCCCTTTCCTGGGTCTCCCCTCTGATCCTTACTCTCCCGCCCCAACTTCTCACCCTCCAAGTCAGCGTCCTCCTCATCCCCACTGGACTCCCGGAGGCTGACAGCCAGCACCAGGGCCTGTAGGAGACCAAAGAGGCAGGCGAAGTGCAGGGGGTGAGCAGTAAGTAGGCTCAGCACAGCATGGAGCCCATGCAGAGCAGCCAGGAAAGACAGCAGCCCATGCAGCCAGAGGCCCAGTGGCCCACTCAGGCCCAATGCGTTCAAGGCTGCCCGCAGTGGCCGTGAACACAGCCCCAGCAGGGCTGAGACCAGTAGCTCCAGCAAGTGAAGGGTCAGGTTGGTGGAGATTTGCAGACACTCCTCTGGGGCACCCAGGTATTGCGAGGGAGCCCCTGCTCCCCTACTTGGTTCCCTCCGCAGCCAGCCCAGCAGTTTCTGCTGCCCCCGCCAGCTGGGCTTCTCCACTGGCGTTTCAGGCCCAGGGGAGTTCAGTCCCCCTTCTGGGGACACTCCAGATTTCCTGGTGCCACCTGAATCCACAGGATCCCATCCCAGCTTGGGAATGGCCTCCGCAGCCTCCAGTCTTCCAGACTCTTGAGTGCTGGCACTAGTCTTGACCCCCTTGAAGGAATCCATTCTTCTGCTCCCCAGTGGCTCAACATGGGGCTCCCTGATTGGTTCTGGAGAAGCCCCAGATCTCCTCCAGGCTCCTGAGTCCTTTGTCTTGGGAGGCCCCGTATCTCCCATGGTTTCTGGGGCACTGTCCCAGTCACTCCCTGAATTCTCAGAGGAACTGTTCACCTGTCTGGGTTCTGCGGTGGGCAGGTCAGGCCCGGGTTTCTGACGGCCCCAAGGGCGAGGTATCCAGCCACCAAGCCGTCGGAGGAACATAGCTGGAGCGCGTAACGAGCCCCCAAATTCTGGGGCGCTTCCTGGCACTGCTCAGGTTTGAGGGTCTCCTCAGAAGACAGTTTGTTCAGGCTCAGAAGAGCAGGTATCTGCTTGGTGAGTCGTACTCTGAATTCAGAAGTGGCTACCGACTTCCCTGAATGGTCAAGAAGCCTCCAGTAGGGCAGGTGGCTTGTTTCCTTTTCAGTGTTGAGATAAAGAGAGGAGGCACATCCAAATTCATTCACCAACACCACCCCACACACGAGATTACAAGAGTCTCAGGATCTGATACGGTTCCGGTCACCCCGACAGTGTCCTCCCTGTTTCCGGGTTTCCTTCCCAGCCAAGTACACCGAGTTTCACTCACCAAGGCCACGCCCCAAGGTGTCCCAAAAATTGGGGAGGCGGTGCTCCATCCATGAAGGAAGGAAGGAAGGAAGGTAGGTAGGAAGGTCGCCCCGTCCTAGGTGCTCCCGATGTGGGAGGTCCTGAGCTGCTGGCTTAAAGGACCTCAGTAATAGGAAGCCTCGTATTGGAGGGTGGGGGGAAGGGTCCGGCGAACTCCAGCCAGCAGGTACGTCCCTTGAATTTAGATGGCTATGAATCTTTACAAAGCAGCCGGATGTGCCCCCCAAGCACGCAGCTGAGACGCGACCTCCAAAGGGTCGGGCTAGAGATGTCCTCAGAGATCCCAGTCGCGAGGCAAAGCGCCGGGACCCAGGCGTTCGAGTGCTGCTGCTGTGGCTGCGGCCTCACGGAGCCGCCCGCCGAAGCAACCAAGTCCGGAAGCAGCTGCACAGGGGCTGGAAGGCCAGTAAGGGCGGAGCCAGCAACTCACAGGAAGGACTCTGCGGATGGCCCGCCCCTCGCGTCATTAGTACGTAACCTGCTGACCTCAGCGGCCCCCAAGGCCTGTTTATCAACTTAGCCCTCCATTTTCGTCGCCCAGAAGCCCTCGGGGCCGCCAGGGCTACCCCGAACTCACCTACCCGCTTAGTCCCGTGCCTTGGGTTCTTCCCTCGACCCTCCACCACTCGTCTTCATGTCTATGACTTAAAGAAAGGGTTTTTCGGAAACGAGACCTCTGACTTAGTACTTGAGAAGCTATTCCCTGCTAAGTTTACTTCCTGAGATTGCCAACAGTGAGCTCTTCATTTGCCTGGCACTGGTGTGAGGAGCATAAAATGAGAGAAGTATGGGAAAAACAAGTATAGACATATAGATGTGCTTCCTGCCTTCAGGAGTTTTCATGTAGTGAAATATAAACCTCGGCTTAAAGTTTAGATTTGGGAGTTCTGGTGCCATTAGCTAACAGAATACAAGCTGGGTAATCTTTGACTTTGCCACCACACTGGCTTCTTCCTACAGGACCCTACCCATTCTCACCACCCCTGTGAGCCTGCCCTGCCTCCCCCTATTACTGTGCACTGTTTGACCATATGGCTGTCTCCTCCTGCAGGTGGGAGCAACTTGAAGGTTGGGAATGTCTCCTAGTTCTGTTCTTAGCGCCTAATATACAACTTTTGAATTAGCTGAAGCAATCAGGGAAGACAGTCCCTTGGGGAGGTGAGACTTGCATACAGTTGGGCAGTTCCTGGCCGGGGGCTGAAAGAATAGGTGGGGTGCTCTACACAGGGGTTAGGACCTAGCAGTGAATCAGACTAGCAAGGAGATGATTCCATCATGCCCCTGGAGGGGCTACCCCTTCTGGCTCAAGTGGGACTTGCATGTGGCCCCCAGACTTACTTGGCTTCCCCACAACAGCTTCTGGGAAAGTGAATAAAACACAAAAATAGTGAGGTTGATTTATTTCTCAACTCTCAGTCCCCCTCTCAAGGGGAGGGCCTAATGACCAAAATCTGAGTGTCTGAAACCTGGGCAGACCCCAGGAAGTAGAAGCCAAAGAGCCCAGCTCTGACTTCAGCAGACCAGGGTCAGACCTTTCCAAGGTCACTCAAGGTTCATGTACATCCTCAGATCCCGCTCCCAGGCTTTGTCCTTCTCCTTTTGCCTTTCCTCCTCCCTTCTGCGCAATGTGGTGACCTGTAGGGCTCTCTCCCTCCCAGCCACTGCCCGTGTATCCCGAGCCAGAAAGTGTGTGACTCGGGGCTGGGGTGCTGATCTGTATCCTAATCCTTCCTGGTCTCTCTTGAGGATGGTGGGGATGGGGATGATGCGGCCCTTGCCCCGGGGTCCCAGCCCCATTCCAGGTTCCCAGCCCCCCTTCAGCAGCAGCTTGAAGCCTGGGCTGGAGATGGGCACCCCAAGGTGAAGATTGGGGGTCTGGAGATCCCGGGACAGTGACAGCAGGTGAGCAGTAGATGTTCGGTGGTTAGAGTCTTGGAAGTGGGCATCACAGGTCTCACAGTACTGGGGGGAAGGGGACTGGGACCTGCAAAGGAAGAAGAGAAACGACTGAGGGCATGGGAAGGTTTGAGGTAGGGGGAGATGGCAGGGTGGGATAGGGTCCTTCCAGCCTTTCTGCTAGGAAATAAATTGCCTTCCTCCCCACTTACCAACATGATAACCAGGACCCACAAGGCTCTTGGGCAAAGGAGGAATAACAATGGCTATAACTAATATTTATAGTGCCTACTTTGTGGCAAATACTGTTCTAGCACTAGACATATATTAACCCATTTAATTCTAACAACCCTATGAGAAAGGTGCTGTTATTACCATTTCTCAGATAAGGAAACTCATCTATGAAGATATGAAGTTGCTTGCCCAAGTAAGTAGAGTTAGCATTTAGATCCACAGAGCTCAGGTTCATAACTACTCTAGTACACTGCCTTATCAACCTCCACTGGGAGATGAGGGACCCTTCAGCTCTTTGCTGGTGTGGAGTGGATAAGAAGGGCGGAACACACTGAAAGGTGGGCAAAGGCGAAGGCTTCCCCTCACCGGTTCTCTGGACTCCTCTTCTCTCCATGGCTCTCTCTGACCATGCGGGCCACCTCAGGAAAGCCTGCTTCTTCAGCCAGCTGAGCAGCATCCCTGCCGCCTAGCTCACAGACCCCAACCCAGGCAGCACCCCGGCCCAGGAGATAGCGCACAGCTGCCACCTGGCCTGCTCGGGCAGCACACATTAGGGGGGTCCACCAGAAGGCATCCCGAGCATTGATATTCCCCCCAGCTCCCCCTGCCTCATAGGGATCCAACAGCCTTTTTAGTTCTGCCAAGTCCCCCTCCTGGGCTGCCCTCAGTATCCAGTGAGTCATCTTGTCCTCTGCCTCAAGGGATCTCCTTTGTCCATGTCCTTCTGATGATCCTGCTGCAGTCTCTCTCATCATTCTTCTCTTCTTCCCCTTTCTGTCACTGGCAGGCTCAGGTTGCGATCTCTGAGGTTCAGGGGCACTGCTCTCATCTCCAATCAAGGCCTCATAGAAAGCCCGGGCTGCAGCCCCATCCAGTGTAGGCGCCAGCTCTTCAGGCTGTGACTGCTGCTGCCCATCTTTCCAGAGGTCGTTGGGGTCAGTGGCTGGGGTGAAGGTGATGATAGAGGGCCTGGACATGGCTTTGGAAGAGCTGAGAGAATGAGACCAGGCAAGGGGAAGACGAAGCCAGCAAGCCAACACCCTGGTGGCCCTGCAGTGACCAGAGCCACCTCCAGAGACCTGCTGGGATGAAGGGAAGTAGGCTTAGAGTCAAAAAAAAAAAAAAAACCCTCCTACCCCAAAAGTGACCCCACAACCTAAGACCTTACAGGGCCCAAAGACAATAGATCGTATAGAAAAACAGGGAACCCTATAATAAAAGACCATGCCCTTTAGTAAAGGTTAACAAAGACTCTATAAAGGCAGTTGCCTAGACATCCTGCCTTGTGTTCCTACTCCCAACCTTGTCCACAATAAATAGGAATAGACTCCGAGCATTTGAGATCTTGCTCCCCCGCATATATCGTCTATTTGGCACAAATAAACTCATAAAAGTTCTCTTTAAAAAAAAAGTAAAAAGTAGTAATAGACTTTCTTTGAAACTACCACTCTGTAAGACATACAATTATGAACAGCAATCAGCCTTGCCCTTTAAATCTTTCTCCAACCTATTTCAGGTGTCATCTCCTCAAACAAAAACACTTGACACTTCTCCAAAAAGAGGAACCAGACTTTGGGAGAGGCTGCAGTCCACGTAGCCTTGTAGCTTCAGCACTACAAAATGGCGCCACTGTAAGCAAAGGAATCTACTAATCAAATATCCAGACTACTCGAAGACGCATGTGTGGCTGGAAAAAAAATAAACAAATATTATTTTAGGGTGCAGGTTCCGCCCCCCCCCCCCGGACCTTTCCAATAATATTTATGAAAAGCGCCACGTGCCTCGGGTAGCGCGAGGACAGACGAGGATGTCAGTTGGGGTCCTGCTTTTACATAACGCTCCACAATGCCCTTCGCCTCCTCGAACGTGGCCCCTGGCTCTGAGCTCATTTTCTGGAGCTGGGAAACAAACCACTGTCTGGGTTAAGAAAAGCCCTGGTAGGCGTAAGGAAACCTATGGAATGCCTAGAGCTGTGAAATTAAATAACGTCACGCTGCCCCTCACCATTACTCCAACCAGGGTTCGAAGGTCGCACTTAGCGCCCGCAGCAGAAGGCCCCATTCAAGCCCTAAGAAGAAATGGAGAAATGCAAGGGAACGAAAAGCAGAATGACTGGCACTACCTCAGGTTAGCCACTGGGCCGCCCCGGTTCTCACACCGCTCAGCTCAGCGCAGCCCAGCACATCCTACCCAGGTCCCTCGGCACGGAGCCCGGCCTCACCTCCCGCCTCAGGAGGCCGGACCCCGGGGTGAACCGTGGGCCCCGTCGGGAGGCTCCATGGCGGGCCTGGCTCGACCAAGGGGTTGGAAAGACAACAGGACCCGTAGGATGGCTGGGGACGAGGTCAGTCCCTTAAGCAATGGCGCACCGGGACCGCAGCCTCGCTGTGTGAGGGGACCAGCAAGGAAAGACCCGGCCAGCCTTGTCCCTTACCCCAACTACTCTCGAAGCCCCAGGTCCCGAGATCACACAACTGCTTCCCAGCTCCCTGGCCCAGAACCCGGTACTGGGCTTCCGCTTCCGGTGGCGCCTCGTTGCGTTGCGCCCGCAGCGTCTTCCTCAGGGGCCTCGCGACACCAGTGCCGTGCCCGGTTAACCCTGGAATTCGTAGTTCGCCTTCCCCTGGTTTCGCCTATTTCTTCCCTAGCAGATACTCTATCTCCCGGCATCCACCGCGGCGGGGCCGGACCCTTGGCGCTTGCGCATTGCCCTCTTCCCACCCTCCCTTTTCTACTCACGTCCCCCCCCCCCCCCACCCCCAACTTCGCCTCCCAAGATCCGGTCCGCGGCCTGGGCTTTAGCGGTAGCTGCCGTTCCTTGGAAGCAGCAATTCCCCTCCCCCACCCCAGTCCCGGCCCCTGTCCAAACGGTGAGTCTTCCGAGTGTCGAGTGCTCTGTCTCTGGGCGCGGCACAGGGGGGTCTCCGTGCCTCGATGCGCGCGTGGGGAAAGAAGTGAACTGGTCCGGCACTGAGGGAGAGAGGAAAAGAGTGGCCTGAGGAGCGGAGGCGGGATGTGGGGACTCTAGCTAAAGGGACCTTCGGACCACCCCCCGGCCATGAGAATAGGAAGGGCCCAGCTCTTGCTTGGAAAAAATAAACTTCGAAACCCTTAGGAAAGGCGCCGGGACATGCAGAGACCTGCGGGTGCAGGGGGACCGAGCCAGGGCTGCTCTTCGGGAGCGTCAGGAATATGGGTTAGGACTGGTGGGTCAAGACTCAGTTTCTCGCAAGTGGCGGGATCCTAAGGAATTCTTAATCTTGGAGAAAGGGAGCTGAGGTGTGAATAAGAGGACCTGGAGAGAGGTGTCCAGAGTCTGGGATCCTTTAAGAAAAGGTGGCCCCAAATTCTTCCGTGGTTGGAGAGCAGAGTGTGGGAGGAGGGAGAATACCAGAGGCAGGGAGGGAGAGCTTTGGTTACACATACGGTCTTTGTCCAGCTGACGTGAAGATGAGCAGCTCAGAGGAGGTGTCCTGGATTTCCTGGTTCTGTGGGCTCCGTGGCAATGAATTCTTCTGTGAAGTGAGTTTTCAATATCCACATACAGTCTGGCCAGATACTCTCTCACATTTTCGGCTTCCACATTTCTCTCACAGGCTTCTGTAGAAACTTGTTCCTATCAAGGAAGAGTCCCCTCAGTAACCCACCACTAACTTGTGGTGAAGTGGCACGACTGAGGCCCAACTTTCAACCCTGCCACCCTCCAGCAGTATAACGTTGGACAAGTCAGCCTGTATGGGTTTTTTGTTTTTGCTTTGTAATTAGTAGAGTGGTATCGATATTTCAGCGATTGTTAGGAGAACTAAAATATTGCATATTAAAATGTTTTGTAACATGCAAAGCTGTGTGTCAATAGGAGGGATGTAACTCCCTTCAGAACCCACACTGTTCAGCCTCCACCCTTCTCAAGAGAGCCAGCTGCCCCTTAGGAGAGTACAAAACTGGTCCCTAGAGATGGGGGCAAGGGTAAGGACAAATGCAATATCTAAGTAGGGGATTGTTGTGCCTGCTTATTCTTTAAAAAAAAAAAAAAAGGCTTTTATGGGAGGACAGTACATGTGATCTGAGGAGAGAGATTCAAGTGCTTGCACCGAGCTGGAAGTAAGCAGTAGAAGCAGTTGTGCTAAGGATAAAGCGTTAGTTAGAGCAACTTGCTCAAGTCGAAGCCAAGAATTCTGCTATAGGTTCCCTCTTCACCTCCGCATCCTGACAGGTGGATGAAGATTACATCCAGGACAAATTTAATCTCACTGGACTGAATGAGCAGGTGCCCCACTATCGACAAGCTCTAGATATGATCTTGGACCTGGAGCCTGGTGAGGCATCCTCAGTGTTGTTTTGTGTGTGTATGCTTTTTTCTTTTTCCCCTTCAAATCCCTGTTCACTTGTTTCTTGATTTTTCTAAATTTCCTTTAAGATTTCTGACTTCCTTAACTCAAATCCCCTACTTCATTTTATTCCCCTACCTGGCTCTTGCCTAATTTAGTGACTTAAACCACTTGTGCCCATACTCTGATTCTATAATTCAGTTCTATTTTATAATGACAGTTTTCCCAAGTGGTCTCATTTTCAAACTCTTTCTCCTGCTTTGCACTTTCTGAGCTAGAGTTCTATCTTCCACATTGACCCTTTGCTTTTATGTGTTTTGGAGGGAGTTGGGAGGGAAGGAAGAGGGCAGAGGTTGGAGAGGTGTGTAGAAAAGGTAGAACTGCCTTGGGTTGGTGGAAGGGTCAGAGACCCAGATTTCTGGGTCAGATACCCACATGGTGGGTGGGGTGAGGCTCAAAGGTGGGTGTTGGGCAAACTCGATAACCAGCAACCCCTGGGGATGGGCAGGGCACCTAAGAAAGCTATAAGACAAGTGATTGCATTCAGCTACGGCCATATTTCAGATGAAGAGCTGGAAGACAACCCAAACCAGAGTGACCTGATTGAGCAGGCAGCTGAGATGCTTTATGGATTAATCCATGCCCGCTACATCCTTACCAACCGTGGCATCGCCCAAATGGTGAGGCTTCTCTGCTCCCACTTGGCTCTTTCTGAGGCAGTAAGGGAAACAGGTTTCTGCAGCAGAAAGTCACATGTTTCAACCCTGTCAAGGAGTATAATTGAGAGGAGGACCTCAGAACCAAATCCTGGGAAACCAGTCTTGAGTGGGGATTGTGCTGAAGTGGGTATTTTCAGGGAGGGAGACATGACCTTGGACAGGAAGTTCTTAGAGACTCTCTCATCCTCAGAGAATGAACACTGAATGGGTTTGATGTTCTGCATCCTCCCTCACTGGCGGAAAGGAAGCAGGGGAGTCTTGAGAGCCCATCTGGGCCAGAGAGACAGGGGAAATGGGGAACAAAGAACTGTTCCCCCATGGATATGGGTTGGCAGAGGAAGGGATTGCCTCTTCACGCCTACCCCCCAACACTTTCCATTTTATTTACCTCAGTTGGAAAAATACCAGCAGGGAGACTTTGGCTACTGTCCGCGTGTGTACTGTGAGAACCAACCAATGCTTCCCATCGGTGAGTGTTGGAGAAAGAGAAGCAGGGCAGCATATGGTAGGTCCTCTGGGAAGGAGTTGGGGCTCAGCAGGTTGGAGCCCTTTGGGAAGGAGTCTTGGCGGGGTGAGGGGAGCCTGGCATGCTGAGTTTGGCTGTCTCCCAGGCCTTTCGGACATCCCAGGTGAGGCCATGGTGAAGCTCTACTGCCCGAAGTGCATGGACGTGTACACACCCAAGTCGTCAAGGCACCACCACACGGATGGCGCCTACTTTGGCACTGGTTTCCCTCACATGCTGTTCATGGTGCACCCTGAGTACCGACCCAAGCGGCCTGCTAACCAGTTTGTGCCCAGGTGGGGAACAAGGACAGAGTCACAAGGGTTCAAAGGAAAGACTTAGCACCCGCAGAGAGAAGGGAGGAGGGGACATGGTCCTTTTTTGTGGTCTGCTTTTCCCAAAGCTAGGGCTCTCCTTGCTGAAGGACTTTGGGAAAGTTCTTTTGTACGTTTCAGTTCTCTTACCCACAGAATAGGGATGATGATAGTACTTGCCTGACAGAGTATTTTTAAATATATGAAGTACTTAGAATACTGTTTGGCACTTGAAGCACCATTTAAACAACAGCTGTTCTTGCTATCACCTTCGGTGTTCGTCCTTTGCCAGGAGATCCTCAGAGCCATGGTTCAAGTATGGCCTAGCTTCCTAGAGGATCACCTTAACTCTGGTATGGGGAAGAAATGTTCAGTTTTATATTTAAACAAGTACTGATATAGGTATCTCTATACATACATCACCTTGAATTTGAGTTTTAATGGATATTTAAGATATATCCCTAAATATTCTTGAGAGGAGGAGGTTGGGAACCACTGCCCTTAAGCACTGAACAGACCTGTGGAGGAGTCGGGGTAGGGAGGTAGGAATGGGGGGGGTGCTTCATGGGCTCACCCTGCTGCCTCTCTGACCTCTGACCTCTGCCCTGGCCCAGGCTCTACGGTTTCAAGATCCATCCGATGGCCTACCAGCTGCAGCTCCAAGCCGCCAGCAACTTCAAGAGCCCAGTCAAGACGATTCGCTGATTCTCCACCCCCCTGTCCCTCAGTCTTGGACATCTCCATTCCTTTGCTGCCACCCTTTCAGGAACCCTCTATGGTTTTTAGTTTAAATTAAAGGAATCATTATTGTGGTGGGAATATGAAATAAAGTGGAAGAAAAGGCCATGAGCTGGTCTGCTCGTGCTTTGGGTTGGGAAAGGGAGGGTAGTAATGTGCTGGACGCCAGAGGCCCTCATGGGCCAGCCCACCCTCCCTGAATTGAAAGCCAGCATAGATTTGTGCCCAATGGATTTAGGTGATGTTTTTAGTAGCAGAGCAGAATTCCTAGGACTAGGTATGGGAGTGTGCAAAGTCCCAAGGAAAAGACTAAGAGAAAAATCAAATTTCAAAGCCTAGAGAAATATTTGTTTTGGGGGGCCACTTAAGGCTGTCTGTTTATACTTACAGGATGTAACACTGTCAGTTTTGGTTTTACAAGGGAAAGTGGTTCAAAAATAACTCAGGTGGCAAGAAGAGGGACAAAGGGCCAGAATTGCTGCTGGGTGAGGCCTGTGTGCCCCTTGCTAGGGAAGCTGAGTCACACTCATTTCAAAAAGATGGGGACTCTTAGTTCCTGGCCAGAGTTGCAACAAAATAGGGACTGGCTGTCTTGTGTAGGGAAGACAGCAGGTGGTGCCAGAGACAAACTTAATTCATGGACTCTTGGGGGGAGGAATAGATCTTTGGGAGGCATGCTGAACAAAGGCCCAGGTAGCGCCCATGTCTTAGCCACTGCTCCCACATGCAGGAACCATGTGGGTGTGGGCACACTGTTCCTCCTGACAAATTAATAACTTGCTCACCCAGCCTGGATCCTACCCCAGGCAGGAATATAGCTCTGAACCTACGGCAGTTCCTGCTACGACGCAAAATCAGTCTGCAGCTCAGGATCAAGGAGCATGGTCATGGGAAAGTGGGATTTCAGGGCAGCCCTCAGGGATTGCCACTGTCCTCAGAATTCCATAATGAAAGCCGATATGCTTCTAGGTGTGCTCATCATGGTGGGCTTCACAGTGGGAAAGGGTAAGTAGGGCCCAGGGGCAAGAAGAAAGGGGTGACTGGAGTCCAGGAAGGGGGTGGGGCTGTGACCCTACATACATGGGCTCCCTACAGGACGGGGACCTTGGAGTGAGCTAGCACTCCTATCCTGTCTGTCTTCTGCTTCTTTAGTTCCTGTTCCTGAAGTCCGGACCTGCCACCTCTGCCTCTTAGAAGACCCTTCTGTAGGATGCATTTCAGGCTCAGAGAAGTGCACCATCAGTAGCTTATCTCCATGCATGGTGATCACAATCTATTATGGTAAGTTCAAGACCCAGGAAGGGGCTACTAGTGGGACAGCCCATTGCTTGGTCTCCTCTCTTCTAGATGGCAGCTGCTTGGGGCCTGGGGCACAAGAAGGAGATAAGAGAACCTTGGAAGGCAGAGTCTGAGATTCTAGGGGTGCCAGCTAAACTAACTTTCTGACCTCTCCTGAAGGGGTCTGGAATGGAAGTTGGGTTTGAGGAAGGATGGGGAGAATTTGTGGTAGGGGTGCCAAGTTTGGGGACTGTGGGAAGCAACAGGTTATTAGCTGTCCTCTCTCCTCCAGATACCAAGGTTCGCTTTTTCATCCGAGGCTGTGGACAGTACAATTCTTACCACTGCCAAGAAAAGCACAGCACCCACTTGTCAGAGTACTGGTACCAAGCCCAGTGCTGTCAATATAATTACTGCAACTCCTGGTCCAGCCCTCAGCTCCAGAGTCCACAGCCTGAGCCCCTCAGCAGGGCCCTGGGCCTGCCCCTGCTCAAGTCTCAGATCCAACGGTTCTACCAGGCCCTGAACCTCTCACTGCCCCTCCCCAGCTTCCACACTGAGGAGGAGCATGAAGGCCTGGATCCCCTGGTTGCCCTGCCCCTGAAACTGGGTTTGTCCATTGCTGACTTGCGCTACATATACTTATTCCTCAACAGTTCAGGACTTCTGGTTCTTCCCCAGGCTGGACCCTGAGCCCTTACCCTTCCCAGATTGCAGTCTGTTCCAGCATCTCTTCCAACACCAGCACTCTGCACTGCCCTCTCAGGACACCCGCATTCTCTGGTCTGTACTTAGACCTTCTACTTTGTATGGGTTGGCCAAAAAGTTTGTTTAGTTTTTTTTCCATACAATAGCTCAAGTAGTGCTTAGTTGTCTTTAACTTCATTGAAAACAGTTTTGTTAGATTGTATTATGACAGCTGTCATATTAGCCTGCATTTTTAAAAAAACATCAAAATTCATGAATTTTTGTGCCACTTTAATGCTGAAAATGGAAGAAAATTCAGCATATAATGCTTTATTTCAAGAAAGGTAAAAATGCAACTGAAACACAGATTTGTGCAATGTATGGAGAAGGTTCTGTGACTGATTGAAGGTGTCAGAAGTGGTTTCTGAAGTTTCTTGGCACTATCGATGTTTTGGGCAAATAATTCTTTGCTGTGGGGCTGTCTTGTGCATTGGAAGATGTTTAGCAGCAACCCTGGCCTCTACCCACTAGAAGCCCCTAGTGGGAGATAGCCGACAAACTAAAGATACTCAAATCAATTAAGTTACTGGTGAAAATGAAAAATATGTTTTTTATTTTATGAAAAAAAACTAAATGGACTTTTTGGCCAACCCAGTACTTCATGTCTAAATGGCTTTGGTTTCAGTTTCTCCCCAAAAACCAGTTGGCTCTTCTTCCTCCAAGCCCAGTGCTGTCAATATGATGTCACAAGTGCAGATTCTTCCCAGACTGACCTGGGAAAGGCAATGATTCCCTCCTCTGCATCCACCCCACCCCTCTGCTCAGCTAGAGATCAAAGAGTGTTCCATCACCCCTCTCCATCTTCCCAGTCCCCTCTCAGTCGGGTCATCTGCCACCTCCACTTAATTCTGGCTGTATCTTTCATCCTATGCCTATCTGTAAGACCCAGGCCAGACTGGATTTGCAGCAAGAAGGATGAGGGGTAGATTTCGGTGCAGATCTGACTTGGCATCCTGGTGTCCCTGCCTCACTGTCTCTACCACCCCATTCCCACCCTGGTCTCCAGCTGCCTTCTCATCTCTCGTTTCAGTCTCTGGCCTCCTCAGCCCCACTTTGTGTCACTGAGTCTGGACACCTACTTCCATAGCTGCCCAGAGAGAGGATAGGGTCTGCCCTGTTCTGCTCCACATCCCCTGATTTCCCTCTACAATAAATGGACAGGGTTAAGTCTGTGTCCTGTTGTTTATGGGGTCAGGCTCAGGTGTGAGCAGGTGTAGACAGGTTAAAGAAAATTGGGCATGGGGTTCAAATGTTTGCAGAGCCCTGCCCACTCTACCTGGCCTTTGTGGCTTTCTTATGACCCAAAGGGCCAACATCCACCCCACCGCTCTGCTCAGCTAGAGATCAAAGCCTGAGGGTTATGACGTGCCCCCGCTCCCAGCCTTAATCATACCCTACAAAACTTAGAAAGTTAAACCCAGGTGATGTTGGGTTTTTCTACCTAAGAGAGGAGGAAAAAGTTTTCAAACCAGGAAAACTCGGGAGTTTTTGTGGTTTTGTGGTTTTGAGGTTTGTATCTCAGAGTCACCTGGTGATGAGGGACCTAAGTTCCTTCCTGTCCACTTTTTGTAGGTTCCTGGTACTCAGGACCCCCTAGGTGGGAACATTTCATTTTATATTTTATTTTTTTGGAAACTGCAAGCATCCTGAAAGCAATAATTAGTAGTCATAACTCCCTTTCCCATACAGTCAATAAACACTAGACACACATTGCTTTGTGCCAGGACCTGCAGACGCTATAGCCGGCGTCTGCCCTTCCAAATCTGAACCCAGTGCTGGGGTTATGAAACCTTTTCCGAAAGGTAGTGCAGCATTGTGGCTGGAGGACCCAATCTCAGCTCTTCCACCACTTAAGTAAGTTTGTCTTTCTGCTTCACTTTGGTCACCTGTCAAGTAGGGCTTTGCCTCAGGATTGAGAGAATGCAAGTGAACATGTATACAGAGTAGAGGTGGGGGCCTCAAAAGTAGACATGCCTTGGAGACAAACACAGATTTGGGCCTATTTATTTTTGAACCTTTTTGGCAAAACATATATGATGGGCTTTTGTAAACTACGCACCTGTGTTACCAGTTCCCAAGTCAGCATAAAGGCTTCTATTACTCAGCCGTTGTCCTGAGTTGGAGCAGCTCAGCTGGGTTTGTCTGTGCCCTTTATATAAATGATATCATACAGCATATACTCATCTATATAACATTTGGCACGTGTTCACATCTTCACGGCCTCGTTAATGACCTGTGCTCTGGCAGGAGATGCTGATACTAATTTTTAGGTCAGAAGGCAGTTGGGTATGCAACCCTGTGTGTCCCCTTGCTGGGCCCACTATTCCCCATGACCTCTAACTTTAGTTCTAGTGCCTGGAACTGGTCAGGGGCAAGTAGTGACAGAATGACCCAGGTTCATACAAACTGGAAGACAGCCTCAGAGGCTGAAGAACCCAAGGCCGAAAACTGAAGAGTAACTTATCATGGTCCTTTTTTTTTTTTTTTTTTTTTTTTTTCTTTATACGACTCATACGCCACCAGTCGTCATCACTGGTCTTATCATGGTCCTTGAAGAGGGAAGCTAAACCTGGGATCAGAGAGTCCATGGCTCCACTAGGCCTAGCATCTCTTCCACAGAGTATCCTTTCTCCCTGGGCCTGGTACTTACACAGCCTCAGTCCCACCGACACCTTCCCTCAATGGACTTCCCCTGAAGTTCCCACACAGCTCTAGATCTGACAGCACTAATAGGTGCCCACTGCCCTTTAGGCCTTCACCGTATCCCCTCCCAATTTCTTTTCAACTTTTCATGCCTAGAACTGAGTCAGACACCAAGGCAGGGCAAGAGCCCAGCTCAGTAGAGCTGGGAGTCCCTTACTTCTCTCCACAAGGGGGCAGTCCGGCAGGGCCCCATCCCTCAGCCTCTACCTCCACCAGAAGAGAGAAAACATATACAGTTTGTACACCAATTTATTCTGGAGGAACACCTGGCAAGAGAGGCCTGTGGTGGGAGGAAGTAAGGGCAGAGCAAAGCAGAGGCACTTTAGAGGCAGGAGAAGAGGGAAGGGAAGATGTCAGACTGTGAGGACTTGAAGGGAAAACTCCAGAGATGTCGGGGGGTGGGGGGGCAAAATGGGAATGGTGGTGTTCAGGGGCATCAAGCAACAGGCAGCTAGGGCTGGGGTTAGTTAACCTGAGGCAGGTAGGAAGGCTAGTGGGAAGGACCAGAAGTTGTCCCTGCTGTGCCCAGGCAGGAATCAGGAGGCTGTCTGGAAACTGGCAGCATTTTACTGCAAAGGTCTCTGCAGAAGTTCTATGGAGTATAGAACACTCTGTTCTGTGGGTTATTGCAGAAATTCCGGAAACAGCATCGAGAGAATATCCAAAAGCCAAACACTGGAGATGTACGGGTATATGAGCAATCACTCATCTGCTCCTTGTGGCGACAGTCACTCACCATGATGTCAGGACCACTGCCTGGGAAGGGAAGGCAGCAACCAGTGATGTAGAGTCCCAGCAAAACCCCATACTCTCCCACTCCCTCACTCCATAGGGACTTATCATCACTGCCCAGCGTGCTTCCCTGCATCCCCAAAATGCAAAGACTCCTGGAACTGCTCAGGGTCAAGTAGTGCCAAGGAGTCACCTGCCATGAACTCTGCAGAAGTTTCCCATGGAAGGCTGGTGGGAAAGAGCCATTTGAAGTATAGTGAAGGTGCTGAGCTGGGACTTGTGGAGCGAAGTAGGGAGAACCAGAACTTTGGGTGGGACCATGTAAAAAAAGCTCGGAGACGTATTGGAGGTCAGATTGCAAAGAGGAGGTGTTTGTTGTTTATTTTACAGATTAAAAGTAAGAAGATATGTTTACTTCTATTATATATAGGGGTGCACAAAAGTAGGTCTACAGTTTTGAGTACATGAAAGTTTATTCTTGTATTATTTACTGATTATTTTATTATTATTATTAACCTACTTTTGTCCTTTCCTATATATGAGAGGGTGAAAAATCTTTGTGCCCAGGTCCAGGGATGTCCACTGCTGCCCTGCTTGAGAGAGTGAAAGAGTGGAAGTAACCACCAGTCAGTCCATCAGCACTGGGATGGACAGAGGGCTCTGTCATGCTTACACCATGGAGCACTATGCAGCTGGCCAATGGAGCAAGGAAGCTGTTTACAAACTGATATGAGGAAACATTAAGTTCCCATAACTATTAAGTTTAAAAAGCAAGTGCAGTGCAGTGTTTACAGGGATATGCTACTCTGTGTTGGGGGAAAAGAGGTAAACATAAAGGAAATGTTTAGAGTGAAATGTCCACTAGAGATCACAGAAAAGGTAATCAAGACAGTAAAAAGAGTGGTTTTGTGTTTTTGTTCATGGGAGCTGGGTGGATTGGGCCAGGAGCAGGAGGGGGACTTTTCTTTGACTCCCTTGAATACTCGAGTATTGAACCATGTCTATTCAGCTATTTTAAAAGTGTAACAAGCCCTGGCTGGTGTGACTCAGTGGATTGAGTGCTGGCCTGCGAACCAAAGGGTCGCTGGTTTGATTCCCAGTCAGGGCGCATGCCTGAGTTGCAGCTCAGGTCCCCAGTAGGGGGCGTACAAGAGGCAACCACACATTGATGTTTCTCTCCCTTTCCTTCTGTCTAAAAATAAATAAGAACTTTTTAAAAAGTAAAAAGTAAAGTGATTTGAATAAAGACAGCTTTGTACAGTGGTTTTTAAGAATGCCATCTCTGGAGCCACCATAAATTGTGGCTCAGCCCCTCAGAGGCTTAGTCAGGTATTGGCTATTCTGTGCCTCTGTTTCCTCATCTATAAAATACCTCAGAGAGTTGTAAATGCTTAGAACAGTGGCTGGCACAGAGGGTGTTTTAGTGTTTGTTAACTTTAAAAAGGTGAGGGGTTATCCTGGCTTCTGGGGCTCAGTAGATTGAGTGCAGGTCTGAAAACCAAGAGGTTGCTGGTTCGATTCCCAGTCAGGGCACATGCCTGGGTTACCAGCCAGGTTCCCTGATGGGGACATGTGAGAGGCAACCAGTCGATGTACCTCTCACACATTAATGTTACTCTCCCTCTCTTCCTCCCTCCCTTCCTCTCTCTCTAAAAGTAAATTTAAAAATTTAAAAATAAATAAAAGTAAATAAAATCTTTTAAATAAATAAAAAGGTGAGGGGCAGGTAGAAGAGCAAGCTCGAAGAACAATAGAATGGAGTCAATTTTAGCTAGTTGAAAGTGAGGTGGAGGTGTCTGGGGGCAAGTTGATGTCCAGGGGGCAAGTTGACATGACAATGTGACTGAACACTCAGATTCTGAAGGGAGCAGTTATGTGGCTGCTGGTGGAAGCCAAAGAAGCAGAGAAATTCTTCTGGGAGAGTGAAGCAGGGAGATAGCTAAGGCCCGAATTTCGGTGAACATGAATCATTAAGGGTCAGGGGGAATGAAGCAAGACTCAGTGAAGGAGTCTGGGAATAGGCAGTGGGAGAGGTAGGAGAAGAAAGATGCTGGCAGGAACTACCATTGACAGATGGGGAAAAAACAGCCTGAGGAAAGGCCAGTGGATCTGGTGATCTCAAGTGTCCCTGCAAGGCTGGTACTGTGCAGAGGGAGGAAGCCAGTCAGCTGTAGGCTAAAGAGAGCCAGGCAAGAGGGTGAGAGGAGACAGGGAATGGCTCTGAAGGAAAGAGACAGTGATGGGACAGTGTCTGAAAGTTTTGGCTTAGGAAATGTAGAGACTCAGTTTTGGTCCCAAGTCAGACAAAAGGCATCTTACTGTTCTTGATGATGAGAGTCATGCAACTGCCACCAGGAGAGGCCAGGCAGTTGTTAGATCCCAGAAGGCATCCCAGCTCTTTGGTCTCCAAGAGGCACCGATAGCAGCGCAGGTATCGGGGAAACTGAACTGGATAAGGGGGCTCTTGATTGACAGGATCAAACTGACCTAGAACACAGAGAAACACTGACCCCACACCTCTGCCTGCCTATTTTCCAGGTCAATCCCACTTTCCCCCCATCTCTGAAAACCATAAAACCATCAATTCTTTAAAACTGGCTTAATCTTTCACCAGAAGATTCAGTCCCCATTAAAAATCTCATTCTCTGCTCTTATACCTCCTGAAATGAGGAATTCATCAGCTCATTCATTTACTTATTCATTCGACATGTTTTTGAGGGGCTACTATGTGCCAGCACTATGCAAGACTCTAAGTTCAAACATGAGGCAAAGGCAGCCCTTTTCATCTTTGGGCAGCCCTGTTAGGACAGCTCTTCCTCTGGGACTTGATTTTACAGTCCCCACCCTCCCTGGATTCTCTTTTAAATATACTTTCTTAATCTTTAATGTTCGTTCAGAAGTAAAAACAAGAATTCATCATCTCAGAGCAGGAAGAATCTCTGCTTCATGTAGACAGGAGACTTCAAAGAGCCCAGGGCCACATTCTTTGTTTAGTGGTCCTATTACAGGACAGACTCACATTAAACTTTGTCCACCAAAGCCCTCCCAACTACATGTGTATATAGTTGCCCCTTGGTATCTACAGGGGATTGGTTCCAAATTGATACCAAAATCCGAGAATACTCAAGTCCCTTATATAAAATGATGTAATATTTGCAAATAACATACACACATCCTCCTGTATACTTTAAATCATCTACAGATTACTTATACTACTTAATACAATGTAAATGCTATATAAGTGGTTGTTATACTGTATTGTTTAGGGAATAATGACATGGGAAAAAGTCTGCACAATGTTCAGTACAGACACAACCATCATAAGCCTAACTACATAGTACACATTGGCAACAATATCATAATAAAAAATATATTTCCCAACTTCAGTTGGTTAAATTCAGGGATGTGGAACCTGTGCACATGGAGGGCCAATTGCATGTCTACCTCTTCCTTTGGTCCCTTGCTGAGACCACAGATTAACGAGTCCCCAAACCCAGCAAAGCACTTTGTGTAAAGCAGATGCTGAACATTTTGATTCTTGTTTCTAGGGAGATGGTGCTCTGCAGCCAAGTGAGGAGGTTATCAGACTGCATCCAGCCTTGTTCTACCCTGTGGAAACTGCTTTTATCTAGTATATTCCCCAAACCCTCCCTATTCTGTGTTGCTCTCAGATTTGAATAGGTTCCCTTCAGTATCTCCATTCAGGTCATTTCTATTAAGTGAGACAACCCTGAGGTGTCACTAGACATCTCTGAATGAACATCAGTCCATTATCAGTTACCAAGCATTATTCCACCAAGCCCACTCATCCTATCTTTGCTTCTGCCTGGGTTTACCTGAGTATCCTGGGTAGATGTACACAGACACCTTGTCTGTGGGTTTGTCTGTCTAGCAGACCAGGAGACCCTTCTGATCTCTTAGAACCACTTACCAAACACGAAGCACATCATGACCAGCACTAATAAGAGGACCATGTACAGAGCTTGAGGGGTGCTGTGGAAGCCCAAGGGTCCCAGACTGCGACTGCCTGCAAGGCCTGCCATAAAATGCATGACTGCCCACCCGCCTCCAGTATGGGCTTATATTGGTGGAAGAGATGTTGGCCAAGAGGAAGGAGAGGAGCAACACCCATTTTGGGGGAAAATTAGTGCCAAAACAGCCAGAGGGAGAGAGTGTCCTCACCCACAGCCACTCTGGAACCTAACATCCTGGCTTGGGAACAGGAGCCCAGCAACAGGGGAATATGAAGGGAACCTTCTCTTGTATTCATTCAACAACATGTGAAACACAGCACCAGGTGTTGGGGTTACAACATTGCCCTGTTTTTGCTGTCAACCTAAAAACAAAGCCTTTCAAAGTAAGAGATGACAAGTGTTTATTTGAGATCAGTAAGAATAGCTATTTTGAAAGCACTGATTCAGGCAGAAGCCCAAATAATGTTTCAGTTAGGAGACAAAGGCAATGGGTATTTATGAGAAAGGCAAGGGGAACAATTATGTCTGCAGAAGGAAGCTATTTTCTATTGGTGCAGAAAACATAGTGATGTTAACTCTAAACAAAGTTTTTAATTTTCGTCTAGTAGTCGTCACCGTTTTCTTGTTATCTTGCTATGTTTGTTGGAAAACAAGGTTGCATAGGGCCAGGCCTAAAGTTATTTTGCCCTGTTTTAGCATTCCAAAGGTTTGTGGCATAAGATGTGCAAGGCAGTTTCAGCTCCATTTATTTATTTTTGGAGAGAGGGGAAGGGAGGGAGAAAGAGAGGAAGAGAAAAATCAGGATCTGCTGTCTCTCACAAGCCCTCAACCAGGATCTGCCCGTGACCCAGGCACGAGCACAACCAGAATGGAACCGGGGACATTTCGCTTTGCAGGCCAGGGCTTCATCCAGAGCCATGCCAGTCAGGACCAGGTTCCATTTCTAAGTTGGCTCTTTCGATATTGTTTATACTGCCTTAGCAGAGCACAGAGTCTTAATGGGGGAGACAAGTCAACAAGCAATGATGGAGGGTGGAGGTGGGGACAGAAGTGCTTCCTGGAAGCACCTGGGCAGTGAAAACCACTGACAAAGGGATTTCAGCAGAGAAATAACATACTCAGATTTCTGTTTATAAGATTACTGAGGCGGGAACCAGTTAGCAAACTATGCGAGCCCAGTCACTAGATGGGGACCTAGTCAAGCAGAGGAAAAGTGGGGAAGCAAGTAGTGACTGAATCTGAGATGTTTTTATAAGGAAGACCGGACAGATTTGAAGTTAGGCTGAATGTAAAGTGAGGGAAGGTGGAACAGGCTTGCACAAAGGGGTGATTGTTAGAACCACTTTACAAGATGAGAAAGATGTGGCACTGTCAGAAATCCAAAAGTGACGACACGTGGGTCCTGAGTGACCTTACTCAGCGCAATGCCCCCTGTGGGTTCCGGGAACCCAACACCTTTCCCTACGCCCCTGTGTTCCGGCCCTGCTGAACTCAGCGGCAGGTCAGTGGGTCTGATCTCCGGCGCCCACAGGATCCCGCGCTGTTCCCTCATTCTCCGCTCCTGGCTGCACCTTAGAGCTCGTGGGAGGACGTGTGGGCAGCGTCCGGCCCGCAGCCCCAGGTTCAGCTCTCCGCCCGGTGGCTGGGAAGAAACCTGGGTAGGGCGTGACGGGCGTCAGAACTCCGGCGTCAGGACCCAGGAGTCCGGAACCGGCAGACACCCAGAGCACTACGCAGCTTCCCCGGCAGGTGGCGCCCCGCCTAGCTCCCCTGCCGGAGCCTGCGGGGCTCCGCACGCCTGCCGGGCCCGCAGCCTTGTCAGCTCAGTGTGTGTGAAACTCAGGGTTTGTACGGTAAGAGCGGGCTATGGGGAAATCCTTTGCGTCCAGTTTACCGTCTGGAGGTTTGGGGCGGGGCCCTGCAAGAGGATTCCCTCTTCCGCCCCAGATCATCCCAGAAATATCCGGCTTCAGGGTGCTAATAGGGTGGATGCAAAGAAAGGACGGAGGCACGCGCCACGGAAGACAGAAGGGAAAGAACAAGACAGGAAGACGCACGTCGCTGAGCGTCCCCCAGAAACCTCAGGATGAAATCTTAAAAACTGTATTATTTCATTCATCCCAAAATGCCAGGGGAGGAGCGCCTGGCACCTTCATAAATGTCTGTTGAATGGCTGACTAAATGATCGAATAAAAGTCAGCGAGCGGGGCCTCCTCTTGAAGCGAAGAGGGCAAAGGGGAGAGAATTTCACAGCGCTCTCTGAACTCCTCCTCGAATATAACCACACTGAAAGGCCAAGGTCTAGGGAGTTATGGGTGGCCTCGCCCTGAGAGGTCCAGGAGGACTTGCTGTAGAGATTCAGCGACCGCGAGTCCAGAAGGTAATAACACGGAAAACTCGAGTGGAATTCGGGGGTTGGGCCGAGACTTCCCCGGAAGGGGCGTGGCCTTACGGTCCTTAAACCTGCTCCAATCTGATTTCACTCCCTCTCTACTGCTGCAGGGTGAGCCAGGGCGTGCAGAGCTGTGGGAGTGAGTTGCCACGGTGATGGGTTCCACCGTGGCGTTCCTGGGGTGGAGAGGAGGGCTTTGCGAGAGTCGTTATGGTGATAGCAGTAGCTGACATTCACGCTGAGTGCCCCCTCACCGGGGGCTAGGGATGCTAGAAGGTAAGCAGCAGAGAGAAACAGAGGAAGTCGGACCCCAGGACACTAGGCCTGGAGGAGGCACTGAGATTCACTGTATCTAGGACTTCAGAACATTGTCACTCATATTCAGTATCTTGAACAAAGGAGGCTTCCAAGGGAAGAAGGTGGCCAGGCAAAACTGGCGGGTGAGAGACTCATTCTGTTCCATGAGGTCCAAGGATTGGAAATAGGAGGAAAGTTACAGGGAACTGATTTCCTCATGTCCAGTTTAAGAACATTCTTCTAACAGCTACCCAAAAAGGCCAGGTGTGGCTCTGGCAGGACATGAGTCGTCGGTACCCAATCCCTGGCAGGGCCTGTGTTTGTTGAGTAGCAAAGGTGTGAAGAGAGGCTTGAGGATATGGTGAGGTGGGTGCGCAGGGTCTGCTGTGTAAGACATGGGGAGCAGACCGTTGCTTACTCCCCATGGAAATAGCAAGAGCTGAGCAAGGGAAATTGGGGATACTGACGGTAAAATCACTCCGGAGAGACCTGGAAATCGGCAGAAGAGCTGAGTAGGTGCAATCAGGTACCAGAAAGCTATGTAAACAGCAATGCTTGTGAGTTGAAGCAACAGGAGGCAACATGGGCCCCATGGGGTGGTTGTAGGCAAGAAGGACTGAGGCTGGGCCAGGAGGCTGCACAGTGGTGGTATTAGGCACAACAGGGAAGGGTAACACTTGGGAATCTATTGCATGAGGACAACTCAAGTAGAGGGCTGAAGGCCTGGGGGAGCAGCAGAGATGGGGAGGGTTAAACTAGCTATATGGAGTTGAGGTTTCCCAAAGCCCAGACCTTTAAGGCTTCAGTCCCTGGCTCACCAAATACTTGGGAATTCACACGATTAGCCAACCCATAGAAAAAATACCTTTTTATTTATTATTAGGAAAAATCCATTCATTTAATGCAGAGTATATACCAGAGAGGTTAGGTACTGCCAGATGGATGAGGGGAAACATGCAAGAGGAACAGTGAAAAGGGGGTTGGTCCCCACTTTTCACAAACTATAAATAGCAACATGAACACAGAGAACCACAAATAAGAGGGTTCTTCCTTATGTCTCCTCCCATCCCATTCTTCCAGAATGAGTCCCAGTGTGGTTCCTAGAGGTGCCAGGGCATCTGGAAGTTCTGTACCGGGAGCGGGGTGCAATGTGTGGCTTCAAAGTTGTGCAGATGTTTCTGAGCCTAAGGAAAGAAGGCAGGACAAGTGGGGTACATAGCACTGCACTGAGTGGCAGCCACCAGACCCTCCGTCTACCCTCCAAACCCCCCACCCACAATAAAAGTTGCCACTTTCAACTGTTCCCAAGCCCCACATATGCCCCCTGGCCATTCAGGCACCCCCTAGCTCACCAGAAACAAAGCCATCTGCTGCCTTTCATGTGCACTCATGTCCTCCCCTGTAGAGAGGAGGTGGGACTCTCAAACATGGCCCATGCATCTGGGCATCTATCCCCATCCTGGGCTCTTCCCAACCCTCTCTTCTGCCTCAGGACCTCCTTACCCACGCTCCAGGGGAAGTCCGGCCCGTGTTCTGCCTGGTAGGAGCGGAGGACAGACAGACACCAGTCTTCCTCTACCTCCCATCGGCTATAAAACGAGGCTGGTCAGACAGAGAGATGAGGACAGAGGACATTGCTTCCCCTGGCCTTGCAGCAACCTGGCCTTGCTCGGCTTTCCCACCCAAAAGTCTCACCTTCCTCCAGCTGTGAGGCGGCCTCCAGCCACTGCCTCACCATTTGAAGACCCTCTTCTGCCATCACACGGGGATACCTGCATAGGTAGTGCCAGGATGGGGATCATAACTGATTCTCTTCACTCCTCATCCCTGAATCTTCTTCCCTCCTTCCCGCTGCTGGTATGTGTACACATGTACACACACACCCCTCCCCCCAACCCTGGCTCTCACCGATGCTGCAGGAGCTTTAGCAGAAGATTGTTGCCTCGGTTGGACATGATGTCCTCAGGAACGCTGGGGGTGAGAAGAATACACTGGAGGGGAGGAAGAGTCTGGATACCTGGATTTCTAGTGGACAGAGGTGGGCAGGGCAACTGTCTAGCTCTCTCTGGGATGTAGGAGGGTAGAGGTTCCCAGGCACTCACGTGGTGGTGATGATCTCATCCTTGGTTCTGCGGATCAGCAGTACAGGGCCCTGGTACCTTAGGGGACATAGTGGGGAGGGAGAACTCAGAGGGAGGCAGGTGACCACTGGCCACCCCACTCCTACACTGGTTGCATTCTTAGTCCCTGCTATAGCAGGGCCCCTTGGGCCAGGCCTTCACCCAGGGGTGCAAGTCAGAATATTAAAGAAGGGCATGCTGAAAGTCTGGCCTTGCTAGGAGATCACTGCTGTGCCAGGCATTACCCTTTGCTTGCTGGATCATAAGAA